ACACTTACCTTGACTCTGTACAACTCATGAACAACTAAACTCAATATAAAGCAATAAGACACATGCAATATATATATAAAGCTTGTAAAACAGTGTAAACAACTTAGTTTGTTAAACATAAAGCAATAACAAACTCAACTTTAGTTATATATAAAAGTAATATAACTTTTGTACGAGATTCTTTAACCGACAACCACCACTATGAGCCTTAGTGATGATACAACATTATACCTCACGTTGCCCAAGGACCATCCTATACCTTGCCGTGATATAAGACCTTACTTAACTTAGTGGATCAATTATCTTAACTTACGTGATCACCTAAAAGTATGACCCGTTAACTCCAATGTTGGCTACGTGGTTATTATGGAGAGTTGAGTTAATATGAACTCGCGTTCCCAATTCGGTGCTCAATATTACTCCCAAAATATACTTTAGCTCATATGTGTTTTAAACACCTCTTTCTTTAGTTTGAGATAATTGCTTAAAGATTAGCCCAAAGGCTCTCTTGGAATCGATGACCCTTTTACTGAAAACTAGCCCAAAGGCTCTTTCGAAAATCATAGTTCCTTTCTTGCTCAAATGTGAAAACATTTATCAACTTCTTTGGGAATACTTAGTTCCCTAATAACTTTTGAGAAATGAACTCAACTCTTTACTCTTTACTTCACTTGAAATTTGAGCCTTAAAACGAAGTTTAAACGTTTAATAAAACTCTTGAAAACTTTAAGAAACTTTGCTTTGACTTGCTTCTTAACTTCCAGACTTGACTCTTAACCTCTTTGACTTTGATCTTAACTTTCCTTGAATTGGATTATGGATTATGGATTCAAGGTTCATGATCTCATGTTTATGGATGATGTCATAATGTTTAGATGTACCTTAGAGTGTTGGAAACAACTAGAAAACATAGGTTCATCGCTTATGAACAAGTACGAAAATGTAGGGAATGAATGGGGGAATTGGCGTCCCTGGTGCTCTGAGAGGCGCGGGGCGCCAGCCCTCAAAGTTCAGAGAACTTTTTGTGGCGCTCTAGCTGGCGCGACGCACCAGAGGCCAAAGTTCAGAGGAACTTTTGTGGCGCTCTGGCAGGCGCGGCGCCCCAAGCCTTTGCCTAGAAAATCCCCAATTTTCTCCTTCATTTTTCATCTCTAAACCCTCCAATCTTCCTTAGTTCTTTCCCCCAAACACTTAGGGTCATTAGTACTCTCAACTTACATCAGATCTAACTCAAAAATCCACTCGAAAACACGAATCAAATCAACAAGAAACTTCAACAACACAACCAGTCAAGAACATAACGATATCCTTCAAGAACTTCACTTTTTAACATGTCACTACAAGAAAAGAGTAAAATTGTGACGGAATATTTGGAACGGAGAAGTCTGTCACAAATTATCACGGAATTTTGACGGATTTGTGACAGATTATTCTTATATAAATAAAAAAATTAAAAGAATTTTTTTACCTACTAAAATTCTGATAGTGACGGATTTGTGACAGATTTATAACAAATATTTAATATAAGTTTTGTGACAGAACATTTCCGTCACAAAATGATAGCAAATAAAAATAAATGACTATATGTCGTCACAAAATCATCACAAAAATTATGACGGATTTACATTCCGTCTCAATTTAATCAAAAGACAATAAATTATAAAATCTTTAACCTAATGAACCATTTTTTCCGCGAAATTTTTTAAAAATATTAGATGGCCTTTTCACTTTCCCCCAAAATTTTCAACACTTTTAGTTTTCACTACAAGCAAAAGCCTTTATTAAGATTAATATATAAGGACGAGTCTATATATATTCTTGTCTCTAAAAGTATATCTATTGGGACGAGTTTATATTTTGGTCATTATTGGTATATGTTATTGTGAAGACATTAAATTCGGTCCTTAAAAAAGTTACTAGCTAGTCCTTAAATGTAATTGGATGCATATTTTGAGGCTTGAGCGGGAAAGTCTTTCCGCCAATTGAAAAAAATTTCTTTTATCAAAATTTGAGGCGCTAAAAAATTAATTCTAAAAGTAAAAAGAAAAAAACTAATTCTCAAAATAGAAGCTTGTCCTAAAAGTTGCCCTAATCTCTTCAGATCACCACTACAACTGAGCATGAATGAAACCCAGCTGCCCTAGCTAATCTCAGCGATGCTTTGCCCCTTGAATGGATAGATGTGTATTCTTCTTTGTGCTATTGTTGTCTCCCCTAATCTCAATGACATTCTTCCATTAAATTTGTAAAAGTGTCTTCTTCTTCCTCGTGTTGTTATTGCTCGATCTGGTTGAAATAGAATCCATTAAAACTTTGCTCGAGACAAAATTTTAGGTGTGTTCATTCTTCTGATCGAGTTGTTGTTGCGCTATTCGAAATATAATCCAACACAGCTTTGATTGGGACAATATTTCAGGTGGGTTTATCTTCCTATCGAGTTGTTGTGTTTCTTTCATAAGTTATATGAATGACGTTTTTTTCTTGTGTATTCAAATTACTTCTTCATCATCTTTTTTAACATTTATTATGTTAATGATTTCAACTTAAAAAATTATTGGGTGTTGAGATTTTGCGACCATATACATGATACAGAAATATACAAGTATATGACTTGTAATTCAATGACTCATCTTCTTGGTTACAAGTAAATATTAGAAACTCCAAGTATAAAAACATAGATGTGAAAGACTGATTTTGTTGTTGCGGAATTATAGGTTTAAGTAGGACTATGGAGAACTTGTCGTTTAAATCTGAAATGACTCTCTGTTTCACTGTTTATAAGTCTTACATATTCACAATATTGGGGTATTAATCTATTCCTCTTGTTTAAGTATTCAATGACATTTCTTTGAATATAAATATGAATTCTTAAGGGCTTTTTGGGATTTATTAGTTAAAATTACTACGATGGATATCATTTAAGTCTAATTACAAATTTAGATATTCAATTCATTTTTAAAAGAGACAAAAAAAGAATGGCAGGTGATCATTTGTTACATTGAAATTCAAGTGTAATTCCAACAGAAATTATAAGAAAAAGTCAAAGAAGGTACTATTAGATGGCCATTTATCCATGAAGTATGCAGCTTGTTATCTGCCCACATGTTGTTATACATAGCAGCCAGCTGCTCTCTTTTAACATTTTCTGCCCACATGTTGTTACTTCAGCTTGCATTTTATGTTATTCACTCAGTTCGTTTGTTTCTATTTCCTTCCAAATGTTGTTAAGTTGTGGTTTCTAAAATATATGTTGGATTCTTTTCTATAAATATATGCAAAATTAGTTACTTCTTAGAGAATAGTTAGAGTTAAAATTAGTTACTGCTTAGAGGGGCAACATTTAGAACATATATAGTACATTAATTTTCTACTCTGTTGCGATCATCTGCTCTGTTTTAACGTTTTCTGCCAACATGTTGTTACTCCAGCTCATCTTTTATGTTATTCATTCAGTCCATTTGAAACTGACTTAGCAGAAATATTACAGTCCACCTGGTTTTGCTCCTTGCGACTATGGTTGATCCATAGGTTCCCCAGCCTCTGGAGCAATTGTCTACATTCAAAAATTATATTAGTTGTATGAATCATGACCTTTGTGAATTAGGTGCACTATTTTTGCTGAGTCAGTTTCAATTTGTAGATTGGAGATATTCTGTAGATCCGCCATTTTCAGTCTTATTACCATAGCTAGTAGTTCTGAATGTAGAGAAAATTTATTCTTGCTTAGAATCCTGTTATCCAAGAGACGTTGTTGTCACGCATGAGTCCTCCAACTCGCCCATTTTTGGTAGATTAGTTATAAAAGTCATCCGTGTTTAGTTTGTATCCAGACTCCGGCGGTACCCACCTCTGTTTGCACCTAGCAATACTACTCCTACTTATCTATAGTTGTATGCAAAGTTAGTGATTGTTTAGAGAATAGTTGGAGTTACATTTGAATGAGGAGACAAGTTGAGGTAAGGTGACGAGACAAGACGAGATGAGTCGAGAGACTGATGCATTGCCTTCAAATAAAAGTAAGAAGGCGTAACATTTAGAACATAGTACATTAATTTCTAAATTAACAACTGTACATATCTTTAATGTTGGCTCTATTTTTTATTTTCTACACAACTTCATAACGACATAGATTTTGTTTTAAAATTTTCTACTATGCTGCAACAATATCGTTGCTAGCTACCATGTTTTAACGATTTCTGTCGAGATGTTGTTAATCTAGCTTGTTTTTATGCTAATTTATTCCATTTGATTATATTATCTACCTAATGTTATTTAGTTGTGGTTCTTCAAAATATATGTTGAATTCTTGGCTAATGTATCTCAAAGTTTTCTAATAGATTTTTCTTATTTCTTGCTGTTTTTGCTGATGTTTCTGGATATCACTTGACAAAGACTGAACTTTTAAATTTTCTGCTGGACTTTTGTCCATTCTTCAGTGAAGATGTATTAACTCATTATTAGTAATTTGCTATGAATATTTTGCAAAACTTTGGATGTTATCACTAAAAAACATATTGGTGTCGTACGAGTAGAATAAAGCTTATAAATTGAATACATCTTTGGCATATTTGATTTTACATGATCACCTTGACATGTAGTATTATTTAAAATAAAATAGTACACTATTTCTAGTGTACATTTAAATTGTATAACACTAACTACTATAGCTTTTGGTGATTAATTGATTGTTTATGAATTTGAATTCATTATATTTTGCTACCTCTAGGTTCTAGTGTCATATAAAAATTAGTAGTCATCATGTAAGTTTTAACACGTTTATTATTTGTGTCAGAGTATATAATATGAGTAACTCCGATCATGAGTGGATGTATGTTAGAATACTGAAAGATGGATTCATAAAACCAAAGTTTATTGATGGAGTTGAGAACTTTGTTGCATTTGGAAAAAAACATCCACAGTGCATGGATGGTGAGAAGTTAAGATATCCTTGTAATCATCGTAAGTGACGAAATAAAAATATTTTGGATGAGTTTACAATTATGACACATCTAGGAACTTATGGCTTTGTACCAGATTATTACCGTTGGTATCACCATAGAGAAAGTTATATTTCAAATCTAAGTGTGCTTAATGATCATCAAGAAGAAGCTTCTGGTGAAACCGTGAATCCTCAATCCCATAATGCATTCTGGTCAATGGTTTTTTATGTTGTTGGGCCTTCTTATAATGGTAACGTGAAAGAGGACCCAAATCCAACAACACAACATAATTATGATATGCTCAAAGCATCGGAACAAGAGATTTGGACGGGAAATCTACATGGACATACACAATCGTCTGTTGTTGCTCGTTTGTTAAATCTTAAGGCAGAACATCATTTTTCGGAAAGGTTGTATGATGAGTTATGTCAGTTTATATCAAAATTGATGCCAAGTGATAACAAAATGATCGATAGCTTCTATGGTACTAAAAATCTAATGCGGGGATTAGGCTTGCCAGTCGAGAAGATTGATTGTTGCAAAATTGGATGTATGCTTTATTTGCGTAAGGACAGTGACCTAATCAATTGCAAATTTTGCTCTCATCCTCGATTTAAGAGATCAAAACATCAACGTTCCAAGAAGAAAACTAATATTTCTTATAAGAAGACGTATTATTTTCCTTTAACTCCACGGCTACAAAGGTTGTATGTATCTAATGCAACAGCAAAACATATGAGATGGCATTCAGAGCATGAAAGAGATGGTGTCATGCATCATCCCTCAGACTCTCCTTCTTGGAAGCATTTTGATCAGACGTATCCACATTCTGCATCTGAAGTTAGAAATGTTAGATTGGGTTTGTCTACTGATGGGTTTCAACCATTTGGTCAATCAGGCCAACAATATTCCTCTTGGCCTATGATAGTTACAACATATAATTTACCACATTGGATGTGCATGAAGGATGAATACATGTTTTTATCTGTGATTGTACCTGGTCCAAAAAATCCAAAACAGAAAATTGATGTCTTTTTGCAACCCCTCATTGAAGAGTTGAAAAAATTATGGGAGGTGGGAGTCCAAACATATGATGTTTCAAGTAAAAATAATTTTCAAATGCAAGTTGCATTGATGTGGACAATAAGTGATTTTCCAGCGTACTCAATGTTGTCGGGTTGGAGTACAGCAGGAAAATTAGCTTGTCCTTATTGCATGAAAGATTCTGATGCTTTTTCACTATCCAATGGTAGAAAAGTCTCATGGTTTGACAATCACAGAAAGTTCTTACCTATCACCAGATCATCCATGGTGAAAAAACAAAAAGTGGTTCAAGAAGGGTCAAATAGTACATAAGGTTGCATCTACTGAACAATCAGGTTTACAAATACTTAGAGAGATTGAGGATTTGGGACTCATGAAAGTGACAGAACTTTGTTCCGACAAACGAAGAAATAACATTTTCTCAACAACATAATTTCCATCAAAGATTCGGCATATGACACATGATATTGAAACAAAATGCAAAAAGAAAATAAGGTTACCTTTCTTGAGGCAACAAACTGAGAACAAAGCGAGCTTAAGAGCAGTGATTTCTTCTACCACACAATTCGAATACGAACGGCAAACTAATAAAATTTGAGTGACGATCTTCTCAAAACTTTGAATTTGAAAGCTAAGTATAATATTTTAAGCGTAAGATGACTATTGCCAAGGAAAAACTTGACCTAAAAAACCTTCCCCTTTTTTTCTTATTTTAACAGGGATTGAAAGATGGAATATATAGAAGAGGAAAGAATCGTTTTGGGGGCGGGGGGGGGGGGGGGGATCCATTGAGAATTCAAAAAAAAAATTCAATCCCCCTGCTATTTTCGAAACCACAGTAAAGGAGATGGGAAATTTCTGAAATCGGAAAAAAGGGGATGGGACAACTGCTGCAAGGTATGGGCGATTTCGCGAATTTCTCACCGGATTTGCTGGGATTTGAACGTTGCTTGCTGGTCGTTTGGAAAGGAAACGAGTATGGGCAGTGGGGTCGGGATGCGGTTGGAATCGCTGATTTTCAGCGGGGAAGATGAAGTTGGGCGGTGGGGTACTGTTTTTGAGTGGGTTTGTTGTTGCTGTGTATTGTATTGTTGTGTTGCTAGATATTTTATTTTCAAAAAAGATGGGCTTGGGCCGGGTAGCTGAAAATTGGAAAGTGGGTTGGAGTTGTTTGTTGTATGGTGTGAGATAGTGGGCTGAAAGTTTTGGGCTGGGAAGGAGATGGGCCGCTGAAAATTTAAAGGAAGACCCAAAAATGGTTTGTCCCAAATGGGTTTGGGGTGAGGAAATTAATGGCTAAAGTTGCAAATAAAAGGTTGGGCAAATAAATTAACAATCTAGCCAAATTGAATTTATTACTCAATTTGACTAAAGATTATATAAAATGAATTAGTATTCATTAACGAGCTTCTTAATCTTAACAAAATAAAATTAACTTAATTAATTTAAAAATATAAACTATTACTTAAACCAAATTAGTTGACAAGATATTTAACTAAAACTAAAATCCTTTTGAGACGAATTTCGAATATTCATAAAATATACTAATTATATACATAATTATTTAAAACATATATATTATTTAAAAATTATAAAATGTGACAAAACTATTTAAAATAACTTAGCAAATATTTTGAAATTTTATAAATTCAATTATTTCAAATCGTTTGGAATTTAACAAGCTCGATGATTAATATATATTGCGGAGGTCCAAAATTGGGTGTCAACAACTGTCCCTCATTTGACTTGGATTGATGAAAGAAATTCGAGGCAAATGAAATTGACAAATTCAATTTTGACCGACCACATCTTTATCTTTTAGAAAAGAATTATAGTACGGACTCTAGCAATTATGGCCGAACCCTGGTATCAGGTTTCCTACATATCTCAGACTATATGAGAATTCAGGTTACGCACGATTCTTAAAAAATTCAAAAGCTATCTCGAAACCAAATTATGAAGGGACCAGAATGCTCGGAAATAAGATTTAGGAGAGGATGTCGGAGTACAACCGAGTTTTTAACATTGATTCCGCCTACATATCCTTCAACTTAGGGAATCAAGCTGCTTGTAGTTTGACTCGATCAGTTGAAAAGAAAATCTATTATGCTAGATAACCTTCGGTTCTGGAAGAGCGACAAATGAGTCGAGTATGAAAAGGAGGCTTGCAATCTCTTAGCCATGAATGTGGTGCACTTCACATCCATAATTAAGAACTTACACAAACATAATTTTCAAAGCTCTTGGTGCATTTTCACTTGGATTGGAAAGTTGCTTCTGGTGGAGACCAAAATTTCTGGATGCAAAACTGAAACCATGAAACCTAAAGAAGAACCCACATGCCTTCTGATAAGGGTGTGGTTTGATTGTGGTGGAAGTAGCTCCTCTGCTCGCGTCCTAAGGGTTTGACACTCCTCTTTGGACTATGTCCCAGTTCGCTGCTAAGAAGAAGCTCCACATTGTGCTGCATCCTAATTGATGTCGTCCGCACCTGTGATTTGTTTTGAGAATTCATCCTCTTGGATGCTCTCGACAAAGACTAAGATAAAACTCATTAGCATAAAAATGCGATTCAAATGGACGGATAGTGTCTTTTACCATGTTGAAACTTCATTGCTCTCCTCGAACGTCATTTGGTGTCAACTCCATCGGGTTCGACGCAAAGGAACTAAAACTAGTGTTTCATATTTGCAATATAATCTTCAATGTACTCTTCCTTTGATTGATAAATTAGGTTGATGTAATATGTTGACTATTCTCATGACGTCGTTGTTGATAATTCTCTTGATGTCATTTTTTAAAGAAAAAATGATGCAGCAATGTTGATCTTCCTGCGATGCATGACTTCTCCCGCAATGCATGAAAATAATGCTTCTTTGAAAAATACAGGTGATGTTTTCTCGAAAACCGCAGTTAAGGATGACTTTTCCTTGCAATGTAGGAAACTTTTCTCGCAATGCATGAATCTTTCTATTGCAATGCATGAATCTTTTCCCTCGATGCATGGTTTTTTCTTTGCAACGCATGACTTCTTTTCTTGCAATGCAGGTCTTTTCTCGCGACACATGGCTTTTCCCGCGATGCATGAATCTTTCTCTTGCAAGACATGAATATTTTTTCTCTTACAATGCATGGATCTTTTCCCGTAATGCATGAATCTTTCTCTTTCTATGCATGACTTCTTTCTCTTGCAATGCATGAATTTCTTTTCTCGCGATGCATGAATCTTTTTTTGCAATGCATGAATTCCTTTTCTCGCGATGCTTGAATCTTCTCTTGCAATGCATGAAAATTTTCCCGCAATGCATGACATTTTTCTCGCGATGCATGACTTTCTGTTGTTATGCATGGTTTCCTTCTATTACAATGCATGATCTCTTTTGATGATGCCGTCCCCGGTACCGAACGAAGATAAAGCTTCACCGAGCAACATAGGTGATCTTTCGGGGTATTTTTGGGTGGCGGTATCGTCTCAATCGACAATATAAATAAAAATAACCCTCGGAGTAGTGGTATCATCTCATTTGACAATACGATATAAATGACTCTCCGGTTAATGATATCGTCTCAATCGACAATATAAATAAAAATGACTCTCAGACTATTGGTATCATCACATTTGACAATATGATATAAATGACTCTCTGGGTAGTGGTATTGTCTCATTCGACAATACAATAAAAATAACCTTCAGGGTAAGAATATTATCATATCTGACAATATAGTGCAGATAAACGTCTTCCAGGTAACTTTAGTTGCTGGAAAATAAATAAAATTTCTCTCTTCGAGGTTTTTATTTGTCACCACTCCGAACATAATCGTATGTCCATTATGGATTTGGCCTTGTTGGGAATTTGAATGAAATAATGCTATCCATATTCCCAAATATTTGATATAAGAAACATAAAATATTTTCTGCATCCACCGAAAAAATTATCAATTTTGGGGAGCTCCTCGCCCTTTGACTTCCCCATATTCATCGAATGGAGGAATATGTTGATGTTGGGGTAAACATATAAACCTGCATCTACAGAAAAATTGTTAGTTCAAAAAATGAACTGATCTGTGTTGATCTCTCCGGTTGTCTGCTCTTTGTCTTACTATCTTCGGTTGATTTTTCTGATCTCCCGCTTTTTGATAGGTAAGACAAAAAAATTTATGCAAAAAATAATTGAAACATGAAGGAAAAGCTTTTAGGGAAAGTAAATTTTCAAAAGTAGTGTTTGGAAAAGGTCACTGCCAAGTGTTATGTCACGTCAAGCTTAATAAACGTCATTTGGAATTGATGTCTCGAGATTTATCTAATTACTTGTTTGGAAGTATCCAAAGTTGCTCTAAACTGCCGATGAACCATATCAAAATTTTTGAGGTCATCCTTAAAAATTCATGTCCCAGTTAATTGTTTTGGCTTATCCCGAACTGTTGGTGAGTAAATCACGGAATTTTTGAGATCCTCTCAAAAATTCTGTCCCAGTTGCAAATCTAAAGATAACTTCAGCCTCGACTTGTTGGAGAAAATCTTCTTCTCGAGAATTTTTTAGTCCCTCTCAAAATTCTGTCTCAGTTTCTATTGTAAAGAGAAATAGAAATCTCACGGGAGATATGACCGAGCTGTTGGGGCGCCTACGTATCTCGTTGATGCAGGAATCAGGTCAAACGTAGTTCCCTTCCTCAAGGGTTAACAAAAGTAGGAAAATTACAAAGAAAATCGACCGAGGCCGACATAAGCCGCCTACGTATCTCATTACTTGAGAATTCAGGTCAAACGTAGTTCGAGATACAAGAAAATATTAAAAGGGGTAAAAAGGGTGACCGAGGTCGACATAGGCCGCCTACGTATCTCATTCTTGAGAATTCAGGTCAGACATAATTCATTACAAGAGGGATAAAATTCTAAACAAAGCAATTACAAGCAAATAGAACGATTACAAGGGAATGACAGGAATACAAACTGAAACTTCACACGTAGTATCTCTTGACAGCATCTGAGTTGATTGGTTTTGGCCATTCGGTGCCATCCATCTCCGACAGGACTAAGGCACCTCCAGATAACACTTTGCGAACCATGTAGGGCCCTTGCCAATTTGGCGCAAATTTTCCTTTATATTCATCTTGTTGAGGGAAAATGCGCTTAAGAACCAACTGACCAACTTCAAATATCCTGGCTCTTACTTTCTTGAGAAAAGCACGAATCATTCTTTGTCGATACAGTTGACCATGGCAAACGGCAACCATTCTCTTCTCATCAATCAATGTTAGCTGGTCAATCCGCTTGCGAACTCATTCAGCATCACTTAATTCAGCTTCTTGGA